CCCCAAAACCCCAAAACCCCAAAACCCCGTTATATTAAAATATTAGAATTTGCTGGAATGGTTTTTTGAAATTATAAATTAGTTAATTTCATTATCAATGAAATCCTCTTAGCTTGATGATTTGGTGGTCCTTGATGGTGGACTTAAGTACACTGGTAAACTACTCAATGGAATCCCTCACGGATATGGAAAATTAGTTTGGCCTAATGGTGATCTCTATGAGGGAAACTTTAAATTCGGAAAGAGAAATGGTTCAGGAAAGAGAACTAATATTGATGGTTCAGAGTATAATGGAGAGTACGTTGATGATAAACCGCAAGGCAGAGGTAAGCTGAAAATTATTAAATAATATTTAGGTCTCTATATTTGGAAAGACGGTGAGCGATATGAAGGAGAATGGAAAGATGGCAAGTTTCACGGTAAAGGAATAAAGACTCTTCCTGACGGTACAATATTTGATGGAGAATGGATTGAGGGCAGACCTTAAGGAATGGGCATGTGCAAATATCCCGATGGAGCGAAATACACAGGTAATTGGCTCAATGGCTAGCCTCATGGTGAAGGAGTCAAGATTTTGACTGATGGGACAAAATATACAGGAGATTGGATTGATGGAAAAGCGTGCGGTATTGGAGTCAAAACGTTACCAAACGGCACTATTTATGATGGGCATTGGACAGATGGAAAATTTGATAAAGGTAAATGCACCTATCCTGATGGAAAAATCTATGAAGGAGATTGGAAGGACGGTAAACCCTCAGGCTAAGGAATCAAGACTTGGACAGATGGCAGAAAATATGATGGACTTTGGAGATTAGGAAAACCAGTAGGAGTTGGTAAAAAGATCTATCCTGATGGAAAATAGAAAGTCGGATACTGGGACAAGGGAAAATTCATTGAAGGATGTAATCATGATTATTATAATTTATAAATTTTAGAACCACCAGCAGGATCTATAGATTAGTAAGCCCCAGAGAAAGATGATGGGAAAAATGAAGTTGATGATATGGATGGTTCAAAGATAAATTTAGGAGCAGGGTCATAGCCTTTAAAGTAACAGTTATTGATGGCTTAGTAGAAGCAGCAAGTCAATCCTAATATTAATAGTCCTAAAACTTTAGCTTAAGCTATTAAACAGAATGTAAAATTTTTCATTATAATTTTTATTAAAGTAATCATCAGCTAATGTTGTCCCCAAGGATTAAAATTAACAGAGGTAATTGTAGCAGTAGTAGCCAATCTAGTAAATTTAATAATAGCAACAGCACTAATCTACTCCTTAAAAATAATAATAGTAGCAACAATAATTATAGCCAGTGTAATTTTATTAATCTTAAGAATTCCTATAGGTTGAACCTTGGAGGAGTTGAAAAGTAGACTGCTCAATAGTAATAAGCTTAGCCCTCTAGTCAGCAGTAAAATCAAGAATAGAAATTAGGCAAATACTATGTTGATGAGGATGGATTTGTCCAATTTCCTGATGGCTCAAAATATAAAGGTCCACTGAAGAATGGAAACCCAGATGGTGTTGGGATAATTATATATGCTGATGGATCTAAATATGAAGGAAACTGGTCAGCTGGTAATTCAAATGGCTTTGGAGTGCTTATTTTTCCTGATGGAAGTAAGTATGAAGGAAATTGGAATAAAGGTAAATACAGTGGAAAGGGGATATATACAACTTCAACTAATGCTAAATACGATGGAGACTGGTAAAATGGAAAATACCATGGACTTGGAATATTTCACTGGCCAGATGGAAGTGTTTATAGAGGGGAATGGAAAAATTGTAGAGAAAATGGAAAAGGTCTCTTTAAAGGTGTTAATGGAACTACATATGAGGGTGAATGGGTAGATGGTAAATATAGTGGCTAGGGTAAACTTGTTACTCCTGATGGTAAACTTTACGTTGGACTTTTTAAAAATGGAAAGTATATTAGTTGAGATTTAACTTTAAATTATTCATAATTTAATAAGTTTGTCAAATTTTTAGTCTTTATTAAAAATTTATAAAATGGAGAATAGAGTTCCATCTTAGAATTCAAACTTTGCACTTCCAAAGTCGAAAAACTCACTGCCTGCTTTGGACTTCAATTAAATTATCGAGAAGAATCTTGAAGTTAAATAAATGTATGGAAATAAAAATGGCAATAATTTGGCAAGTTTGCTCGATAGAAGTCATAACCAATCTGGAGTACAATAGAATATAATGAGTCAATCTCATTTGATTAGTAGCAGTCAAAACTCATCATATTAATAGTCCAACAGAAATTTCGGAGCGATTCCCTCGCATCCTAAAAATCTCTTTGCACAAAAAGATCAATACAAATGCTTGTGTGGAAGTGATGTATTGCAGAAAAATTTACAGACTCACTTCATGACATGCTAAATGATGTAGAGTAAACATGATCCAATTATGCAATGTCTTCAGTGGGAAATTAACCAGTGTGGAGATCATGATGTCAGTTTAAAGAATATCAAAGCTATCTTATCTTATTTCGTTGAAAGCATCAATGATAAGATAAAATCTAATTCTTCAAGTTTTGTTGTAAACAATAATAGCATTTCTTCTTCAATGAATTTTAACAGTGTAAATAGCAACCACAAAAGGAACAGTGATCTCTCACTTCCATTGAGTCAATTTAATATACCTGAGAAAAAATAATAAATAGTAGAGAATAATCATCATGTTTATGAGTATAAACAAGAACCAAAAAGCAATCATAAGTTAAATAATTCTGATGTTATGATGATTGATGAAGAAGAAATCAAATAGGATTACGTAGTGTATCAAGAGGAAGAGCAAGAAAAATGTTGCTATTGCAGTTAGATTTTCACTAAATAAGATGAAATAGACTAGCAGAAATAATTCTTAGAATCAACTGATTGCTTCCATCAAATTCATTCGAGATGTCTTGTATGTCTAGTTTTTGAGTAAGTTCTATTATGATGATAATGTAAAATAGAAATTTCCCTAAGAATCAAGTTGCTCCATGTCCTTTTTAAGGTTGCGGGAAGCACATCTAGGAATGGGAATTTAACAGATTGCTTTCATAAGAATAAAAAGATAAACTAGATAAGCTTGTCAATGACTCCATATTAAATCAAGGAAAAGATTTTATTGCTTGCAAATGTGGAAATGTAATGGAGCTAGTTGAAGGAAAGGTAGATTTAAACCAAAAAGATGATTCAGGCAAAAAAATTTCAAAGTAAGTTGCCATATTATTATAAAAGACAAATTAGGGAAGCAGCCAATCATATGGCGAAATTCAGAGTAAGGTGCTTTTAGTGTTAAGATAATTTCTGCTCTAAGTGCAAAGAATACCCATATCATATTGGAAAGACTTGCGAGTAGCTAAAAGAACATAAGAATTCTAGAAAATGCAGATATTGTGGCATTAAAATTGATCCTAAAATACCTTTACAATCTAAGAAAGAAGCATTCAAAGATGTCTGTAATGAAGAAGAGTGCCTTCAACTAATGAGGAAGTCTTGTGACAAGATACATCCTTGTGGGCACTTGTGTAATGGTTTCGCAAATGAGCCTGAATGCTTACCATGCTTACATGAAACTTGTGTTGCAGAAAATCAACATCCAACTTTAGGTTAAAATGCTGATTCTTATTGTTCTATATGCTTCATTTAAGGATTAGGGGATAAGCCATGCGTAAAATTAGATTGCAATCATATTTTCCATCTTGATTGTGTGATGAAAATTCTAAAATAAAAATGGCCTGGACCTAGAATAGTCTTTAACTATCTTAATTGCACTTCATGCAAATAAAGGATAAGAGCTGCATATTGCAGAGAAATAATGACTGAAATTATGGAAGCTGAAAGTTATGAAAAGGATTTGCAGAAAAAAGCAATTGAAAGAGGAAAGCATGAGGGAATAGACAAGCACGAAAAGCTTAAGGACAAAAGCTATGCTTACTATAATAAATTCCAAGAATATTGCTTATTCAAGCTTTCCTATTATGAGTGTTTCAAATGCAAGCAACCTTACTTTGGAGGAATGAAGGACTGTGAGAATAATTAAGAAGAAAATAAATAGTAGGAATATAAAAAAGAGGATTTAGTCTGTGCTTCGTGTTCAGCTGTTGCAGTTGGAGGGGGAGTTTAGAATTGTCCTAAACATGGATTAGACTATATTGAGTTCAAGTGCAAATTCTGTTGCAACATCGCTCAATGGTTTTGCTGGGGCACTACGCATTTCTGTGAATCCTGTCATACTAAATAAAATAATGGTGATTATGTCTCTAGGAAAAAACGAAGTGAACTTCCTCGATGTTCAGGCCCAGCAAAGTGTCCTCTAAAGATTCAGCATCCCGAAAACGGAGAAGAATTTCCTCTCGGGTGTGCATTATGCAGAAATCTAAAAGCTAATATGAAGAATTTCTGAGTTTATTAATCAACCAAATATTTCTACCTTAAATTCAAGAAATAGATCGTCCTGGGGTTTTGGGGTTTTGGGGTTTTGGGGTTTTGGGG